ATATGGGAAGGTGTGAAAGTAACACGCCTCAGACAAATGCACATATGCTGGAAGGTGTGAAAGTAACACGCCTCAGACAAATGCACATATGCTGGAAGGTGTGAAAATAACACGCCTCAGACAAATGCACATATATTGGAAGGTGTGAAAGTAACACGCCTCAGACAAATGCACATATGCTGGAAGTTGTGAAACTCACATCTCAGATAAAGCACATGTGCCAAAAGGAATAAAATTAACATGCTGACATGTGCTGCAAGAGGTTTACTGTCACCTGCCATTATGGGATGGCAAGGAAGATATACAGACAAAAGTTGGTGGCTACACGCTGATTTAAGTACAAAGAGGAAGAACAGTATACAGTTCATACTTACAAGTACAGGCTTTGTGTCTCGTAACTGAATGACGGAGGTCCAAAAGTCACAAGTCTGTTGCTTTACTAAGATCACCGACTTGCAAATTTCTTCAAACTTTCTTTCTTCTGCATCAGTCCTGTAGAGAGAGATGTACGAATTTTGAAATTACATGTACACACGTAATTCAACGTCAAATATCTACTTATCACCCTGAGGCATTTGGGAAAACTGACGTGATAGGTTCACTTATTAACAAACATTTTACACAGGCTTAAGAAAAACTAATATATTAATGCTTACATTATAAACACATGTGACAATGCCAATAAAACAAAAAAATTGTCTTAACTATGAAAAAACAGTTTACTTTTCATGTAAAATGAATAACACAGACCTTGAAATGGTGTATTTACCAAACACAAAAATATATATATGTAATCAAACAGCATGTTGAGTTTAAAACTCAACAAAAACATTCAGCAGTGATTAAGGGTTTTGGAAGTAAAGTTAGCTTTGAATCAAGACTCCAGCTTTCCTGCTTCTGAAGTGTCAACTTGTTCTTAATACGAATTAACGTGGTTACTTTTCAATTATTCTTTATAAATCTTCACTTCATCATGACTCAAGAATGGTTTGAAAGCTGAGGATGAGCAGTATTTATGCATTCTAGTGATTGTTATACATGTTTATCTGCACTAATCTGTTGGTTTTGTTTAGTCTTTATAAACATTTACCAGATAACAACTTTAGAAAAGTTGAAAGCTCTAACCAGAGCCGAGAATGAGTAGAATTTAAGGACTTGTAAGAGCTACAAATTTTTAATGTGAGGATGGCTAAGATACCAACTGGTATAATGTCTAATGAAACTTTTAGTACGCAAACTATGATGGCTAAGATAGCAACTGGTATAATATCTAATGAATCTTTTAGTATGTAAACTAGGATGGCTAAGATACCAACTGGTATAATGTCTAATGAAACTTTTAGTATGTAAACTATGATGGCTAAGATACCAACTGGTATAACGTCTAATGAAATTTTAGTATGTAAACTATGATGGCTAAGATACCAACTGGTATAATATCTAATGAAACTTTTAGTATGTAAACTAGGATGGCTAAGATACCAACTGGTATAATGTCTAATGAAACTTTTAGTATGTAAACTAGGATGGCTAAGATACCAACTGGTATAATGTCTAATGAAACTTTTAGTATGTAAACTAGGATGGCTAAGATACCAACTGGTATAATGTCTAATGAAACTTTTAGTATGTAAACTAGGATGGCTAAGATACCAACTGGTAT